ATCCCAGGAACCTGTGGAGACTGCTACCTTATGTGACAGAAGGGACTTCGTAGATGTGATTTAAGGGTGTGGACCTGGAGATGGGGGGAGCACACTGGATTATTTGGTGCACCCAGTCTTTTTTATTTTTAAATGTATCTTTATTGATTTCAGAGAGAGGAAAGGAGAGGGAGAGAGAGAGACAGAAACATCAATGATGGGAGAGTCATTGATCGAGTCCGCAACCCGGGCATGTGCCCTGACTGGGAATCAAACCCCCATCACCTGGATCCCAGGTCGACGCCCAACCACTGAGCCACGCCCTGCCAGGATCTCATCTCCATTTCTGTGTCCAGGGCAAACACAGCTCTAGTCCTTCCAGCACTTCCCCCATCACTTCTCCTCCTCACTGCCCCAGGACCACAAGCTCCCTCTACGCGTAGCCTTACACTAAGCAAGAGAACACCTTCTAGTCCCGTCTTTACACACACAAAGTACCAACCACAGTGGTATCTGCACATGCACTCACACTGAAGATTAAGAAGCAAGTGTGTCCCTGAATACTCGCAGGGCCAGTGCCACTACTCTGCACACATACAACCCGGCACGCTTCTCAGCTGCGAGGAACTCTGCCCTGTCATAGTCACATTTCCCTCTCTGAATCACAAATATCATACCCTAGGGAGTAAGTCAGGCCTTCAGCTTCAATCAACTCCACGAAAATAACCAGAGCTAAGCTAAGAAATCCTAGGTTAGAGAACAAAATAATAACTAAGCCTGCAGTTCCTTTGGAGAGAAAGGCGAGCTGGAGGACAGCGAAGTGGGAGGGGCGTGAGGACCCACACATGATCTCCAGAAAACACACACAGTTCAAGCACCCAAGTCAGCAGCTGATTTTGGCTCCACCATCACAAATCACTGCTGTGGGAACAAGCGGGTATTTGTTCAGCAAGGAAAACAGCAAAGCAAGTAGAGGCTACAAAGAAAAGAAAGAGTGGCAAACACATACACTTGGGCACTTGCTGCAAGATTTATCAAGGCCAGGCAACCGAAGAAAGTGATGTCCAAGATCGGCCTCCTCAGGGATACCTAAAGCCTGGGAGAATTCACCCAAATAAGCCCCACGTTATAAACAAGAAAAGCCGCTACTGCAGCCACTGGACCCTGTGAGACATAGGCACACGGCTGCAGGATCCTTCCCAGGTGTACTTTCTGCAGGAACTTCCCACTCTGAGCACAGTGGGGAAGTTTTGAGAACAAGTCATTTTGGAATTAGTGCCTCTATCCAGATAGTTATAACTCTCCCTTCCCACAAAATGCAATCACAGGGGCACTCCCAGGCCTACAAGCCAAGTGAAGCTGCTTCTTATTTTAATAAAGGGAAGGATGTGCACTAAGAAAACACACAACCCCCACCCGACAGCACACAGGACAGCAGGGTGGAACTTCCAGTCTTCCAGAAGGGCCACCTGGGGCTTTTTTCCCCACCATGAAACTCTCAGGGATGGGCCCCTGGTGACTTAGTACAGGGATTCGGAGACCTCCCAGACCCTCTGTGTCTCTTTCTCCAATAAGCCACGAGGTTGCTCAACTCTCATGAAAAGAAATTTTAAATGTAAATAATAAGTGTGGGCTGGGAAAGGCAACAGCCAGGAGAGGTTTGAGACTTAATTAGGAAAGTTTGGGACAAAGATGGAACAGGTGGGGCCTGTTTGGGGAAGAAAGGAGGAAATGTGCAGAAGGGAGGCTGGGTGGGTCCTGCTCCGACCAAAACAGAAAATAAAAGTGAGAAACAAGTTCCAGGGTGGGAGGAGATGCAGGAGAGGAGGTGGTACAGGGCATGCAATGCACGGCTAAGGAGTCAGGTACTGCTGGGCAGCGGGATTTAAATGCGAAGGGGAGACGGCAAATCTTCTGAGTGTAGGTGCAGAAAAAGGCTCAGTATCAAACTGCGGCTGTAGGGATGCGGGTTCCAAGTGCGGAGGGGCGGCCAAGAGGAGCCTCCTAGGCAGGGTCAAGGCGGCGGGCTGAAAGTGGTTAATTCGCGATGACGAGGTGGGAGGGGAGCGAATTTCAGGCGGGTATCTCAGGAGAGGTGTGTACGGGTTGTAGTGACGGGGGTGGCCCGCGGCTACAGGCTGCACCCATGAAGCTAGGGGCCTGGGACCCCGGGTAGGGGACCGGAGCTCCCCCTGGTCTGGAAAGCCCGGGCTGGGCTCGCGGGACCAAGGCACCGCCGCCAACGGGCCGGGGTCCCCGGGCCTGAGCTCTCCAAGCAGGAGGGTCCCCAGGGAGGGGCCTGGGCCCGCGACTCGCAGGGCAGGGCCTCAGGAGGGGCGGGGGTCCCCGACTCACGCATTAACGTGCTGAAGGCCACGACGCCCAGCAGCCCCTGCAGGAAGATGCCGAAACTGTGCATGAGCGCGCCGCTCTCGCAGCGGCCCTCCCCGGACGCGACGGTGGCGGGCGGTGCGCCCGGCACTCCGCGGCTCGCGTTCCCCGCAGGGCCCTGCATGACGGAGCTGGCGGAAGA